CAAATGCTCCGCAGAATAACAGTTTTGCAGATTCTTTTATGCAGTTTAAAGAAGGGATATAAGGAAAAAAATGCAGAAAGCTAGGCAGAGACTGGATTACAAGATAATTAACAGGATTAGATGCTCTCTTGAGGGCTAACACCCACTTGGAGGGGAATTACTTCTGGTATTTCAAAGGCGTCTTAACTTAGATGCACAAGAACAAAGGACAGGGTTGATTTAAAACCTTTCACTAAAGAAGTTATAGGCCTGCCCTGGCCGATATTGCTCAGTTGGTTGGGTGTGGTTTGATGAACCAAACGTGCGCAGGTTCAATTCCCAGTGAGGGAAAAATGCCCTGGTTGCTGGCGGGATCCCAGGGAGGGGGCATGCAGAAGGCAGCCCATTGATGTTCCACTCTCACATCAATGTTTCTCTCTCTCTCTCTCTCTCTCTCTCTCTCTCTCACTCTCTCCTTTCTCTCCCTCTAAAACAGTGGTTCTCAACCTTCTGGCCCTTTAAATACAGTTCCTCATGTTGTGACCCAACCATAAAATTATTTTCGTTGCTACTTCATAACTGTAATGTTGCTACTGTTATGAATCGTAATGTAAATATATGATATGCAGGATGGTCTTAGGCGACCCCTGTGAAAGGGTTGTTCGACCACCAAAGGGGTCGCGACCCACAGGTTGAGAATCGCTGCTCTAAAATTTAATTAAACTATATGGTCATATCACCCTGTGGAGTTACTTTCCATCCACACTGTGATATATTGCATGATCAGAGAACAGCCATTCTACAAGTGAAATTTTGTCATAAATCCCTTTGCAAGTTGGGAATTTCCTGACTCAATGACCATTCTTTGCTTTGGGCCTGAAGCTACAGAATATAGGGCTTGTGACTAAGTCGGCCCCTGGGTGTCACATGGGGACAGTGGTGAGAAGAGTACGTCTTCACTGCTCCACTGAGTTTGTGTGAAGTGGCACAGCTTGCAACTATATCATTGCTTGTTCCTATAGAGTCTTGGATGAAATAGTTTAATCTTTATGTCAGCAACTCAGTATCTGCCCTTTGCATCTTATGTTGTCAGAGATGATATAACTTGAGAAGAAATAAAAATATCACCTTTTTGAGTAATTTTATTTCTCCTTAAATATACTTTCTATGACTTTTCCGTGAAATGGGGAAAGCTAGCTAAGGGGTGAGAGCCAAGTGTCCAGTGTCAAAGGCGCCAAGGTTGGTGGCCTCTGACCCTAGGTCATTGTTTACCAGAATTGAAGTCCTGGACGAGGTTCTAAGGTCAAAGAAAGGAGAGCGAGCCCATGACAAGCCATCAGTTAAGAGTTAAGGTTGAAAATCCACTTGAGTTACAGGTTCAAAGCATAGGGGTGGAGGAACTGGGGAAGTCTACAACAAGAAGCAAAATAGTAGAAAGTATGACATGGTCAGTGAATCTCAAACTTTAGGGAGCATCTCAAGCACCTGGCAGGCTAATAAAACAAGTAGCTCTGGACTCCACCTGTAGCATCCTTGCTTCTATAGGTCTTGGTAGAGCCTGAAAATTTGCATTTCTAACAAGCTCCCAGGTGATGCTAACGATGCTGGTTTGGGGACCACATTTTGAGAAGGGTGGTTCTAGGTGAATTCCAGAGACAAGTGACAGTGCTGGTGGTGACTCTTCACGAGCTCCTGGAATACTCTGCTGGGTGAGCTTAGTTTGCTTAAAGTGTTGGAGACAGGAAGGATAGATATAGCATCTTGACTTTTTTTTTTTTCATTTTAATTGCTTTTTTTAAATAAAAAAAAATCAAATGAACAACTCAGTTTTTGAGGATACAAACCTCCTTCTGTATTAAAATGCAAAATAACTTGCATTTTTTCCATGTAAACATAGAAACTCTATGAAACATGATATATATCATGTTTTTGTAGTTATACAGCTAATACAGTGCTCTGGTTAAAAGTGTATATTCTGGCCCTGACTGGTTTGGCTCAGTGGACAGAGCGTCAGGCTGCGGACTGAAGGGTCTTAGGTTCGATTCCCATCAAGGGCATGTACCTTGGTTGCGGGCACATCCCCAGGGGGAGTGTGCAGGAGGCAGCTGATCGATGTTTCTCTCTCATCGATGTTTCTGACTCTCTATCCCTCTCCCTTCCTCTCTGTAAAATATCAATAAAACATATATATATATTTTTAAAAGTGTATGTTCTGGCCGTAGCCAGTTTGGCTCAGTGGATAGAGAATCAACCTGCGGACCAAAGGGTCCTGGGTTTGATTCCAGTGAAGGGTACATACCTGAGTTGCAGGCTCCTCCCTGGCCTGGGCCCTGGTCGGGTGCTTGCAGGAGGCGACCAATTGATGTGTTTCTCTCACATGGATATTTCTCTCTGTCTTTCCCTCACTCTTCCACTCTCTCTTAAAAAAAAGGAAAAAAAAGGGAAAATATCCTTGGGTGGGGATAAAAAAAAAAAAAGT